CGGGGTTTGAAAGATGGACAGAAGCATAGCAGTGACAGAGGGTGGAAGGCGGGGCCGGCTGTGGGTTCTCACAGCTGTGTGTGGATTTGAAATGATTTCTCGGGGATCGATGGTGGGAAACCACCCACTTGCTTACAGCTGCAATTCCAGGCCCTGCACCACGGGAATAGACAATGTGGCACCTGGATGCTTGTGGCCTCAACAAGGCTGCTCCTCAGGCAGCTTCCTTAGGCGCTCTTCTGTGGCCGTGCATGCTTTGGAAAAGCCGTGCGCAGACTGCACACGGGCTGCTCCGTGTACGTGGCAGTTTTCGTGGCAGTCCGTGCCCTGTTGTTGTTTTAGGGTTGATCCTCACTAGACATTTCTGCTGAAGATTCAGACCTCGTGTTTTCTGGGTCCTCTGCCGGGCAGAGTCTGGCCCAAGGTGGGCAGAGCAATGTGGGCATGCAGGCGCTGCTCACTGCCTGTCCCACTCTGCCACGCACCACGGGAAGCCCCACAAGTGCATTTGGTTTTCCCCTACACAGAATTCTGATCCAGGTGGGAAGCATCAGCGACACAAGCCCCTCTGTCTGTCTTTCTGCTCTGCATTCTTGGCATGAATCCTCCATCCTGTGCAACAAGAGGAAGATCAGTGCGTGTCTTGGTTACTTTTCTCTCGTTGCTGGGACAAAATACCCGACGCCCAAAATTAAGGAAGGAAAGGCTTATTTAGCTCACAGTCTGTGGAGGTGTCAGTCCATGCTCGGCTGGCTCCAAGGCAGGGTGGCACATGGCACAGGGCAACCATTCATGACGGCAGAAGGTAGCAAAAGCAACAAGAGCAAAAGGGAGGAGTGGCAGCAAGCAGCCTCTTTCTCTCCCTTACATATGCAAACTATCCGCCCCAGGGCGGTGTAGCACTCACACTCATAATCCCAGCATTGGATCATGGATCAATCATTAACTATAGAAGCCTGCACCCATGAGTGCATGAGGCTTTGGGGGGACATCCAGATGCAGACAGTGCATTTCCCACTGAACATCTTTGTACACCCTAAGGACCAGAGCTGTGCCCCTCTAGCTGTAGGAGAGCTTGGGAAATCAAGCATTTTGGCGTGACACAACCCCCACCCCCGCAACAAAACTGAAGTTCTCTTAGTAAGGAGGACAGAAGCACAGGCACCACTGTCAGTCGTGTGTGTACGGGCCGGACTCCCCTCAGACCGTCACCCACCCAGAAGGTAGCAGGCATCCCTGTTCTCAGCAGCAAGCACACAGTAGGTGCTTCACTGAACACTGGGGAGCCCTGGCTCTGCTCCTAGGGAAAGCGACTCACCTGAAGGCCCAGGTCAGCCCTTGCTCTCCCTCTAGTCACATAGAGGAGGCACAGCCCCGGCCTCACCACATGCGTGCTAGACAGATGGTGCAGGCTGGAGCAGCATCCAGGTCCACGGAGGCCAGCAAGAGGTGTCACCACAACCTCTCAAAAGCCTCTGGGGGATTTAGCTCAAGGGATTTAGCTCAGCAGCACAGCACCTGCCTTGCAAGCGTGAGGTCTTGAGTTTGATTCCCGGTACCAAAAAGAAAAAAAAAAGCTTCTTGACAAAAGCCAGGAAAAGCTCAGGGATGCCATGTTGGGGGACAGAGGGGAGCCCTGCTCCCACAGTCTCTAGCGGCGGAGAGTAAAGTCTGGAGTCTGGTTCTCACCCAGATGGGCCTGATGACAAAGGTGAGCCAGAGCCTGGGGGGTTAATTTCCAGCCAAACGGCAGAGGCATGACTCCTGCCAGCTGAAGAGCAAAAGGGAACCCACAGGCGCATCCGTGTGCCTTGCTCTATGGCAGTGGCTCTCTCCTGGCTGGGAAGGACTGTCCAAGATCCCCAGACCCTGTCCCCAAGTTCCCTGCTGTTCTTGTGCCCACAAGAAACCAGCTGAGACCGAGCCAGGCCCTGATTGGACCCTGCCCTGCCTTTTCTGCTGTGTGCCTTTGGCTCCCCATCTGGTGGGTGACAAGGACCCCACCTACTTACAGAGTACCTGACATAAACAAGGGAGGAAGGTGTATTCTGGCTTATGGTGTTTGAGGTTCTAGTCCATGGTTAGCTGGTTCCATCCCTATGGGCCTGAGGACCATGAAACACCATGGTGGAAAGGTGTCGGTGAGCAAAGCTGCTCACCTTATGGCAGCCTGAAGCGGAGAGAGGGGAAAAGCCAGAGAAGGAGGGGCTGGAACAAGTGCCCCAGGTCGCACCCGGTGACCCACTCCCGTCAAGTAAACCCCCGCCTGAGTCCCTGTTGCCTCCCCCTGAAGTCATCAGAATAGGGTCTCATGTCAGTGGATGAATCCACTAAATTTACAGCCCTCAGGATCCAGACACCTTGCAAAAGCCCCACCTTTGAACACATGAGCTTTTTGGGAACATTTTAGGTCTAAACCATAATACCAGTTACTGCTTTGGATCTAAAAGCAAAGCTCTCCTGTAATGTGGCCACACTATGTTGGGGTGGCGTACAGAACTAGCCCAGCTATGCCCCTCCCTGACCCAACCCAGGGGGTCAGCCCTGCCCAGCAGGACTGGAGCCAAGGCCTCTCCCCGAGGGCTCTGCGTCTCCACCCTTTAAGGTTCTGGGCCAGCAGGCCTGGAATTCCTGTCTTGGTGACCTGGACCACTGCTGGCCAAGCTGTGAGGAGGAGGACATACAAGGTGGGGTCTCAAAGCTGGAATTTGAAGGACCACCCGAGACCTATGGTCCCCAACATGGATCTCCTTGCAGCTCCTGTGCATGGTGACACACAAGGCCCTGGCCGAGCTGGCCCCACCTGTTGTACTTGGTGGGCCAGGGTGAGGGGCAGGAGGATGAAAGGGCCCCCTCAGGGCCAGAAGGACATCAGCTTGTAGTGGGTTAGTTGTTGGGCAGTGCCAGGGTCCCCGACTCCTTCTTGTACACCGGCTGGGTGCCACTGGCTGCCCTGTGTCACTGCCCTCTGCTAGCTGTGAGGCTAAGGACCCCTCAGATTTGGAGGAGCCCCACCGTAAAGGGTCAAGCGCATATACATGGGCTTTGGGGTCAGAGGTGGCTGTGGCATGTTAGGCAAGTGACGACATTGTGGGCTCTCTCAGCCTGGAAGATTCCAGGGCGCAGGAGTCGCTGTGCTCTGTTCCCCTCTCCGGAATTAGCCCTTGAAACCCCTGCTCTGTGTTCTCTCCAGAGAGGGGTCAGGTTCCAGGGACTCCGGAAAGCCCCAGGCGCCCACCCTACAGTCAGGGCCTGTCCTGAGCCTGTTCCACCCACCAAGGGGCCAGGCCTGCGGGAAGGAGAGGCCAGGGAGTGGGTGTCACGCTGCCTACGGGCCATGACTCGAGCATGTGACGCCATCTGGGTTGTTCTCTGTGAACGGCTTGATTGAGATTTAATTCACATGGCACACTGCTCACCCACTTCAAATCCGCGAGCCGGGGAGTTAGTACTTTCGTGGTTGTGTGTCCATCCCCACAGCCAACATCAGACATTCCCATCGCCTTAAAGGGAAGCCCGTGACCCTCAGCTGTCACCCACATTCCCCGAGCCATCCCCAGCCCAGCCCAAGGGGGAGGCAATGGCTGAGCTACTCTCTCTCTCCCTAGATTTCCTCTTGTGGACATTTCTGTAATAGTGTCATGTGACACGGCCCTTCCTGGGCTTCTCCGTTAGGGTCACACTGTCAAGGCTGATCCCATAGGTCTGTCCTGCTCTTCCTTCCATTGTGAAATACTGCTTCATTGTATGCATGCATCTCTTCTGTTGGATTATTCATTGCTGGATATAGGGGTAGTTTCCACTTTTTGGGTTATTATCAATAATGCTGCTATGCACATGTGCCTCACACTTATGTGTTTCCTCTCCTGGGGTATATGCCTAGGAGTAGAATCACTGGCTCTGGTAACTTAGCCTTTGATCTTTTGAGGACCCCCCACCCCAGACTGTTTTCCAAAGCCACTGTGCAGTCCTTACTTCCTTCCCCACAGGGTGAGCGGACTCCTGTCTCCCTGCACCCTTGCCAACACTTGTTACTGGCTGCTTTATTTTACCCATTCTCGTGGATGTCGGGTGGTGGCTCATGGTGGTTTTGACTTGTGTCAGAAGGACATCAAGCACATTTTCATGGACTTTCTGGTCACTTCTTGGAGGACTACTTAGATTCTTCACCCATTTTTGATATGGGTTGCCTTTATATTGTTTGTCTTTTTTTTTTTAATATTGGAGATTGAACACAGGGCTTCCCCAACAACCTATATCCCCCAGCCCTTTCTAGCTTCTCTATTTATTTATTCATTTTATTTTGAGACAGGGTCCACTAAGCCTGGCCTAGGCTTAAAAACTTGCCATCTTCCTGCCTCAGCCTCCCAGAACTCTGGGATTACAGGCATGTAACCATGCCTGGCTTCTTTTTCTTGGTTTTCTTTCTACAAATAGGTTGTATTATTGAGTTGTACGAGTTGTTTATATATCCTCAAGATAAGTCCCTTATCAGATATGGGAATTGCAGGTATTCTCCCCATTCTGCAGGTTGTCCTCGAATTTTCTGATGACGTCCGATTTATTTTTTTTCTTTGGTGGCCCATATTTGGGTGTCTTATCTTGCATGTTTTTAATCACACTCTTCTCTGCGGGGAGGAAATGGGGCGAATGAGGGGTTGTTTGGCTGAACTGTCATTCTGTGGGCCAGACTCTCGGGTTCATTTTGGCTGAGAATCAGGTCCTCTTCCTCTTCCAGGGCAGTGGGGTCAGGAGCTCATGAGCATCAGCTCCTGACCCCAGGGGGCCCAGCCAGTTTGAAGCTGAGAGAGACACGTAAGCAGGACCTGCTTCCTGTGTGGATGATAAATCTGAGGGGAGAGGAGCAGGATATAGACACAGTGGGTCTGGGTTCGAACCCCAAGAGTGCGAGGGACACACTGGACATTTTACCTTCTGTCAAAAGGCACAAGGGCCAGATGCTGGGGTCCCGGGGGGCTAATGCACTCTTCTGTCCGCAGCCATGAAGGCCGACCGGAAGCGCTTAAAGGGCGAGAAGACGGACCTGGTGAGCCAGATGCAGCAGCTGTACGCCACGCTGGAGAGCCGCGAGGAACAGCTGCGGGACTTCATCCGCAACTATGAGCAGCACCGCAAGGTCAGCGCCAGGCTTGGGCACCCGGAGGAAACGGGAGCAGCCCCGGGGCATCTGGGCCTGGACAGGGTGGGTGCTGGAGTTGGGAATCCCTGTTCCCAGGTCTGTGCCCTCGGGCGTCCCACTGACGCTCTCTGAGCCTGTCTCCCCATCTGTAAGAGGGTGATGGCGCTACGTTGCTGCCATGAAGCTTCTGAGATCATGCACGCCAAGCACATGGCCCGGTGCCTTCCGTGTAACAAGCACTCAGCGACTGTGAGCTCTTCAGCTTATTAAACCCACCATAACAAACATGAGGCCAGGCATAGTGGTGCACACCTGTAATCCCAGCACTCAGGAGGCTGAGGCAGGAGGATCACTGCGAGTTCGAGGCCAGCCTGGGCTACAAAACGAGTTCAAGGCCAGCCTGAACTGCATAGCGACACCCTGTCTCAGAAAAAGACAAGTGTGAGGAGAGCAGACTTTGTGGGGTCCCTGAGGGATCCCTGGGCCCGGAGTGCCCTACCGAATTGTAACCTTGTGGATACTTTCTCTGCCCCACCTGCAGGAGAGTGAGGACGCGGTCAAGGCCCTGGCCAAGGAGAAGGACCTGCTAGAGCGGGAGAAGTGGGAGCTGCGGCGCCAGGCCAAGGAGGCCACGGACCATGCAGCGGCCCTCCGCTCCCAGCTGGACCTCAAGGACAACCGCATGAAGGAGCTGGAGGCTGAGCTGGCCATGGTGAGAGCCACTCGCAGGGCAATGAGACCTCAGGCTGCCCCTAAAAGCTGCAGAGAGAGTAGGGGCGGGGCCGGCAGGCAAAGAAGCAGCAGGCAGGCTTCCAAGGCCACAGGGCCCAGTGCCCCCAGAGCCCTCCATCCCCTGCACCAGGAAGTGTGGGACAGCGGGAGGCCTTGGCTCATCCACACTCCCCAGGCAACTGCTAAGAAGAGCAAAGGCAAAAAGGTTTGGGGATATTTAGGGAAATATTTGGAAGGAGATACACAAAAATAGGAACATTACCTAAGTCAGATCAGTAGGATTGCACATGACTTCTATTTCTTTTTCATTCTATTTTCAAATGTATCTGCAGGAAAGTGTCTTAGTTGGGCCACCCAGGAAGAAAAATGCAATTATTTTAATTGCAAAACAACCCCCTAGTGTTCTACCACCGTTCTGAGAAGGTGCCTGGGGTACCTGTGCATGGGGTGGAGCACCCCAGGCCAGAACCCAAAGCCCAGAGTTTGGTTCTGCCTGCTCCTGCATGACCTGAGCCACACACGGAACTCCTCTGAACGTCCCGGTCCTTCCTGTCCTAGGCCCAGGGCAGCGGTCTTGATCCCACCCTCCTCTCCACAGGGTGGCTGGGTACATACAGAGTGCTCATGCCAGAAGGGTCTTTGAAACCCATCAGGGGTCCTGTGACAATGGCCAGTGGAGGTTATAAAGGGACTCTGAGGAGGGTCTCACATGGCTCCAGATGGGCCATGGGTTGTCAGATGGGCCGTGTGCTGCAGGGTTGTCACCTGTCCGGACCTCCTCACAGGCATCTATCTGCATAAAGACCCTGGGCGTAGGGCTCTCCTGAGGATTTCTGTGAAGTAACGCAAGGGATATCTAGCACACAGGATGGTCTCCTAAGGCCACTTGTTCAGTGCAGGGCTGATGCCTGAGTCTCCCCTGGGTCTCCTTGCCCAATGCTGACCTCTAGTGGTGAGGGTCGTCCAGGCGGATGAAGCCACAGCCTGGGGCCCCGTCTGGGGTGGGCTTTCCACCATGGTGTGGGTGCTTCTGCTGCCAGCCCCGCGCATCTCAGCCCAGCTCTCTCAGTGCCCAGCACGGTGTCTCCTTGCCTGGAGCTCTGGCCTCACATCCTGGGGACTGCCTGGGTTGGGAGCCAACTCATCCCAGCCGCTGGTCCCATTACGGGGACACTCGGGGCCTGCCTCCTGCTGCAGACATGCAACCCTCGGCTGGGGGGGTTGTTGCAGTTTAGGTGGTGGATTTGTTGGAACAGCTCCACAGGTGATCTCTGTCCAGGGACGGGGAGCAGGGGCTCTACAGAGCCATGGCAGCTCCTGGCTTGTTGGGGAGTCCATGTAACTGCAGCCCCCCCCCCATGTCACCCACCACCTGTAGTTCGTGAGTGATCGGCAGGCCCAGCTGCCCTGTCCGCCCTGCTGACCTGGTGACCTGAGCAGAAAGCTGCTCAGACTAGCTGTGCTGGGAGCAGTCAGGGTCCGAGGTGCCCTTGGGAGGAGGAGGAGGCCAGGCTCCTAGGCAGGTGCAGGGTCAGACGGGTCCTCAGTGCGCCCCCTGCTGGGGAGAAGGAGTCTCTGTACTTTGTTCTCCAAATCGTGCCTCCTCCCCAGCCCAGGTGGCAGAGGTGTGGGGCCTCAGTCTCTCATGCTGCAAATGCACACTGCACCTGCTCCCTAGAGGGCCTGAGACCCAAGGAAGAGCGGCCCAGCCACCTCCCCAGGGGAAAACCTGGCTCTCCTCGTCAGTGGGTTTTGTTTTTTGTGGTACTGGAGATTGAAACCAGGGGCTTTGAACAGAGCTACGTTCCCAACCCTTTAATTTTTTATTCTGAGGGGTTTCCCTAAATTGTTAAGTTGCCCAGATTAGGCCCTTCCTTGTGATCCGCCTGCCTCAGCCTCCCAGATTCCTGGGGTTACAGGAATGCACCACCACGGCCGGCGCTCAGTGAGTCTCTTGTGCACAGGAAGACTATAGTCAGTCATCCTGCAGCCACACGCTAGAGTCTCCATCAGACAGACGGGGACACGGAGACGTGAAGAGGTGGGGAGCCTCCTAGGATCCCACAGCTACAGAGTGGCTGGGCTGGGACCAAACAGTGTGATCACAGAGCCGCAGCTCCGAGGCACGGTCCCTCCGCACCCTGCCCGCGAGGACGCTGGGCTGAGGGGTGGAGAAACTCTCAAGCTCTCACAGCAAGTAGTGGAAGTAGATTCTGAACCCAGTTCTACCTGGGCTTTTGTCACATGGGCATATTTGTGTCACTTCACCAATTTGTAGGTTCTGGGGACTCGGAAGAAGGTGGAGGCTCAGAGAGGAAAGTTGGGGGGGGTCAGAGCTCAGGAGGGCTCCCAGCACTAAGCTGCAGTCACGGGGGAGGTCAGTAGAAGCGCTGTGTAGTTTGCCATGGGGAGGGGACCCAGCCCAGCCTGCGTGTGCACACGTGTGTAAAGCCAGACTTTGCAGGCCTTAGGGGCTGGGGATTTAGCTCAGCGGCAAAGCACCTGCCTGGCAAGCGCAAGGTCGTGAGTTCGGTTCCCGGT